AGGGAGAAAGGATTGTGTATTTTCACCTGCATATCACGCGAGAATTCATATTCGTCATCTGTATCAACCTTGATGATCATTGCATTGTTCTCGTACTCGACCGCAAGCTGTGGTAAGAGCTACACGTTAGCAATTGCTTCCATGATTTCCAAGATAGAAGTTGAATAAGCACGTATTAGTTACAGCCTAATCCAACAACTCCGAATGTTAATCTATGTTCGAAGTTAATAGATAATGCCATCAGCTCAAGCAATCGTCTCGAGCATCGACACGTTCAGCAAACAACACATTTACAAATCATAGCAGATCCACGAGGCAATGTGAAATTTGAAAACTAGCCCACTCTGGGGAATAATGGGAAGTTATGGCAGATGATGCGAGGCCGAAGAGATTTGAAAATATAAAACTTTCATGAAACGAAAATCAATAGTAAAAATGTTGTAAAATATCACCGACATGACCATGAAAATATTACTGATATGTGGTTGTAATGTGTGAGATCCCACATCGGTTGGAGAGGGGAACGAAACATTGCTCATAAGAGTGTGGAAACCTCTTCCTAACAGATGCGTTTTAAAACCATGAGACTGACGGTGATACGTAACGGGCCAAAGTGGACAATATTTGCCAGCGGTGGGGTTGGGCTGTTACAAATGGTATCAGAGCCAAATACCGAGTGGTGTGCCAACGAATACGCTAGCCCCAAAGAGAGTGGATTGTGAGATCCCACATCAGTTGGAGAGGGGAACAAAACATTGCTTATAAGGGTATGGAAACCTCTCCCTAATAGCCATGTTTTAAAATCGGGCTAACAACAATACATAACGGGCTAAAACGGATAATATTTACTAACGGTGGGCTTGAGCTGTTACTGAGCAATAGACGAAACAAACATTTTGAGCTACCATTTTGCTTGAACAAACCACAACTTTACTCCAGCGCATACACAAAATGAAAGTGCAAAAACTCCATCCAACCAACTTTGTTCAAGCAAGTTGATAAGAACTATAATCTATAGACTTGTTTATGGTGAGTCTTGCTCCCACATACTCTTTGTTCAATAAAAAGAACACAAATTCGCAGAAACATAAGCTTTGTACGTGATCACGAGCACAAAAATATCGCTCAACGCTCAATCATCCACTAAAACCATAAGTTTTTGTGACATTCAGACTACAAACAAGCTTGTTAATCAATTCCGTGTATCATTTTAAAGTGAACTTTCCACCTAAGATAGAGACTAGACGTAACAGCCCAAGCCCACCGTTAACAAATATTGTTCGTTTTGACCCGTTACGTATCACCGTCAATTTCACGGCTTTAAAATGCGTCTACTAGAAAGAGGTTTCCACACCCTTATAAAGAATGCTTCGTTCCCCTCTCCAACCGATGTGAGATCTCACAATAGAGCACCAGAAGTAAAGAAAAAACGATGGGCGTATAGACTAGGAATTCCTTCCATCCCCCATATAGACTGTAGGACAGCAGAATAGGAGCAAATATACTAACAAAAGATAGAATTGCTAGTTTGGGATACACTGATTGAATGCAAAGAGGATCGATTTATCGAGCCACGCAGATTATCCCTCCTGCAGTCAGACCACCATTACGAGACGATCATGTGCGATGCCAATGCTAAACCACCGTTACAGACCACAATATTACAGTGCCCACCATGTGAATAGCCCAAATCACCATGGTACTACCAACCAAACTGACTACCCAGTTGTTCCAGCTAAAAGGGAAAATGTAAACTAAACTGGAATAGCCTTTAGCCTATCTAAACATACAATATATTTGAAATAATAATCAAACAGGATTCAGAAGCTAAATCACTACTAAACCAAGATGTTTAAACTGGTAGTGTGAGATCCCACGTCGATTGGAGAGGGGAACGAGTGCCAACGAGGACGCTTGGCCCTCAAGGGGGTGGATTGTGAGACCCCAAATCAGTTGAAGAGGGAAACGAAACATTCTTTATAAGGGTATGGAAACCTCTCCCTAGTAGACGCATTTTAAAAACTTTAAGGGGAATTCCGAAAGGAAAAACTAAAGAGGACAATACCAGATAGTAGTGGGCTTGAGCGGTTACAAAAAGGTTCACTTATGGATTTGAAAACTAGCATGGGACACAGCAACTTATTAGCGAGGTTTTAACACAAGGACTGCTATCTAATACCATGTAGCTACAAACTACAAAAACTTAAGCCAATGGATAATAACATACGTTCTTTGAACGCCATATTTGAAAATGAAGCATTTAGGCACATGTACAGCAAAGAAACGCCATATTTGAAAATGAAGCATTTAGGCACATGTACAGCAAAGAAACGCCATATTTGAAAATGAAGCATTTAGGCACATGTACAGCAAAGAAACGCCATATAAATGTGAGTTCATATCAAATTGCTACATACCATTTCAAGTTCTTGAGCCATTAGAATGCAGGGTCCACACCATGTAGCATAGAAATCGATTATAAGCGGCACATTTCTTTTCCCCTTCACCAGCTCCTGCACTTCCTCAGCCGTCATCTTCTTCTACAAACCCAACACCAAAACAAGCACCTCATAAATGATTAACCGAACCAATAGCGAAAAGAAGCAAACAATTGGCAACAAACCCACAAACAAAATCAAAGAAAACACAAGTTTACCACAAGATAATCGTCGTGGATGTACTTTCCCTTGGGGGGTTTGCACAGAATCCTTCTGGGAGTGGTGGTGGATGATGAAAGAAGAGCATTTTGTTGAAGGGTTTTGGAGGAGGAGGAGAAAGGAATTGAAATGGAAGGTCGAATGGAGCTGAAATTAGAGATGGGGAAGAGATTGGCGGTGATTTGAAGGGTTTTGGGGGGCTGTAAAAGCGCCATTGACGAAGGGGGAGAGGTTCAACTGTTGCAGTGGAGGGAAATCCTTCGTTTTCGCAATGGATATGGTTTGGTGACTGCTCCAGCCAGGTCGAATTGCCTCGAATTACGCTTCCAACTTCTTTCTCTTATCAGCCATATCCGTTTGATTTGCGAGGGCTTTCAAAGTTTTTCATTTTTGGTCCTTTTAATCACACCATTTATACGCTTAATTAAAAAGATTAAAAAGAAAAACTTAACTTAGTCTTCATGATTAAGAACTTAATTTTTATCCAAATTTGTAATATTGATAATCATTTATTTTATTATCAATTTAATAAAAACATTTATATTCTTACTAAAATTCGATTTTTAATTTTCAAAACTTAGCCTGAATTTCAAAAAATTGATAATAAAATAAAGAAATAAGCTTAATTTTCAAATTTAAAACTAAAAAAAAATCAAACATAACGTGTATAATATTCATTTTTTGCGAAAAAAAATTAAAATGAATAATTCAATTTTAAAAAAAGTTATAAGAATTGTGTGGATGTGTTCTAAAAAAGTTCAAAATGTTTGCAAAAACGAAAAATTTGCTATAATTTTTTTTTAAAAATTTAATCTAAATTTCATTTTAATTGATAAACTTTTTAGGTTGATTTAATTTTGATATTTAAACTTTCTCAAACTATTGATTTTAATTTCGCACAATTTTTTTTCCAAATAAATTTAAATATTAGTTATATAGTTAATAAATAATTAAAGATAAATATTAAAATACTTTTTTATGCAAAACTTGGAAGACTAAAATAAATCATCTAAAATTTCGATAGTAAATAAAAAAAATTAAAAAAAAGTTTATTTATCAAAATATCACATCATCTACCCATTTAAATTCAAGTTAATCATTAAAGTATTATTACTTTTGTAGTAAAAGGTCATAAATTTAAGTAAAAAATGAAACTTAACCAAAGTTTACCTTCTGTTCTTTTGCCCATGATGAACTGTGGGCCCTCATGCTCGAGAGACTTGCCATCATCTACTGTCGAAGAAAGCACTTCTTTTTAAGCATATCACAAGTTTGTACAATGTAAAGTCACCAAAATCAAAAGGCAAAGAGTGAACTCACAAAGAACGATCACGAGGATTGTTGAGGAGGAGTTACACATCGGCTAATTAATGAGTTGATCATGGGTTTATAATGCTGAGGATTGTTGGGAGAGGAGTCCCATATCGACTAATTAAAGGGTTGATTATGGGTTTATAGATAAAGGAATACATCTCCATTAATACGAGACATTTGGAGGAAACCAAAAACAAAGTCACGAGAGCTCATGCTCAGAATGTACCATATCATACAATTGTGGAAAACTGTAGTTTCTAACATGATATCAGAGTTATGCTATTAACTTAGTCATGTCGATAGAATCCTAAGATGTCGAACAAAGAAGTTATGAGCCTCGAAGGTGTAGTCAAAAGTGACTCAAGTGTCCTTTATTCGAGGGCTCTAGAGAAGGAGTCGAGCCTTGATTAAAGAGAGGCTATTCGAGGGCTCTATAGGCCTCAGGGGAGGCTCTATGGTATGCTTTGTTCGAGGGGAGGATTGTTGAGAGAGGAGTCCCACATTGACTAATTAAGGTTGAATACATCGTAATTACGGGGTTGAATACATCTCCGTTTGTACGAGTCATTTTAGGAAAACCAAAAGCAAAGCCATGAGAGTTTAAGCGCAAAGTAGAGTTTCTAACATTTTGTACCGCCAAAAAGAAGTTGAACTATCCCAATCGTGGTTTCTAACATTTTCTACGATAACTCTGCCCTATTGTTTAGCATCGTTCATCTGCAATACAAAACATTTTACACTCTTTTCACTATCTTTTTCAGATTCAAGAGGAAAACTCAAATGAAATGTTACTATTCATCCATCCATCCATCCATCATACCAATAAGGGTTTCATCATTCTAAAGTAATGGGAGAAGAATGACGTGGGAGTTTGGTGAGCTAAGTGAAGAACATGGATTTGGGTTAGCAATAAAAATCACTATAAAAATGGAGTGGATAAAAGATTGGTAATAGGATAAGAACAAGGAGGAAAAGGACAAGCACAAAGAAGGAAAGCAACCCAGAAATGGAATGAACCAAAACAGCAGATAGGTACAGAATCATATCCTCATAATGGTGCTTCAAACTCTATCCATTCACATTCACCATTAAATACCAACTCGACTTCAGACATAAATTCTAGGTGGAACAGAGATTACATACCAAAGATCAGCCACAAGATCATGCGAGTCACATGAAAATTTGTTGAATTCTAGGTGGAACAGAGATTACATACCAAAGATCAGCCACAAGATCATGCGAGTCACATGAAAATTTGTTGAATTCTAGGTGGAAAGTGTAGAATTTTGATACTGAACTATAATCTACAGATACATTCATGTTGAATTTGTACATGGAATTTGTTCGAACGAGGGAAAAAGAATTAATCCGATCACACATGAATATGGTGGAGAGTAATCAATCAATCAATCAAAGAGAGAAGGAAGATGGAGCAGAAGCCTATTCAGAGCATGAATTTATCAAACGATCCAACTGCAAATCCTCGAATACGTTACCGTCGATGTCGCCGCTTGCAATTAGCTTCAACAATTCCACCGCCTTGGCTTTCCCCTTCTCACTGCCGTTCATGGCCACATCTCCAATTTCACTCAAGATTCCAGATCCCAAATCCTTGATGTCCTCCTCCGCCCTCTCTCCTCCCCACCTCGCTAAATTCAACAACGCCGATACCGCGTTCTCCTTTGTCCTCTGACTTGAACCAGTTCCTGAATCCAACAAATCCACCAAAACTCCCAATCCGGAAACCTTACGAAATGCTAATTCGCTATCTTCACATCCCGCTACCTGCGCGACCACCGCCGACGCATCCTCGACAATCCCGGCGTGACTGCCGACCACAACCAAAGAGAATAACGGAGGAATCACTCCGAGATCGACCATAGTGGACCGATTCGGCTGACACAGCGCAATCCCAAACAACGCTTTCAGAGCATCCTTAATCGATCTCTGAGGAGATTTCCTAAATTTGAGAATATCAACAAGCGAATATATTATATCACGCTTTGAACCAATAATCGGGCGGTACTCATCCACAACGAGAAGACTATGAAGAGTCGCAGCACAGGACTGGACGGCGGCGGCAGAAGAAGAGGAATTATGATGGCCAAGCACATGAGAAATCGCGTCGAGGAGGCCATGTGTGGACATCAAAGCTTCACGGGAGGAAATTGAGAGATTCAGAAGCGTAGCAGCGGCGTCTTCTTGGGCAGCGTGAGAGGAGGAATACAGAGTCTCAGCCAAATAAGGAATAGCACCAGTTTCAGCGATAAGCGATCGGCTCTCAGCGTCGTTCTTCGTCATCAATCGGAGCTCCGACAGGGAATCGCACCGGATTTGCTCGGAGACGGAGCTAAGACGAGAGACCAAAGTGGAAGCCGTACGGCGCTTCACCTCCATCTTCAACAACTGCAATGGAGTCGAATCGAAACGATAATCAAGAATTTGAGTGAGAAGAAATCTGGATTTGCAGAGGAATTTAGGTTTTTGTAGGAAATTTGAACGGAATTGAATTGGATAGAAGGAAGAAGAAGAAGACGACGAAGAAAACCGAGGGTTTGGTGAGAAGAACTGAAATGACGAAAATAACCTCAACGTGTAGACGCAACGTATGTGGCGGCGGAGGGGCAGTGGGGTCCATAAATTTCCAGCAGACGAAATTGTTGTTTCCAACTTGGAATCTTTTTAAAACATTGTGCGTTCAAACTTTCTATTTATTTATTTATAAATAAATAAAAGTAATTTGTTTAATTAAAAAAAATTATTAATTAAAGGTCAGCATTTAATTAGTGGAATTATTATATATTTTTCATTAAGTTATTATTTATATACGAGTAACATGAAATATTATCCTCTTTTATCTTCTTAATATTGACATATAATAATAATAAATAATTTAATATTTTAAAAAAAAACCACTATTTAAATATTTAAATATTAGAGATTAAAATAAAGGGTGTTGTAGGGCAATGGGGATGGAATTTTAAAATGTCAAAAAATTGGAAAAAGGATTTCAAGTGTGAACTCATCAATAGTCAAATATTTCATACTTAATTAAAGCCATCTCACTCACCCAACAAAAGAAAAGAAGCTACACGTGGGAGAGAGCTCGTTGAGTGAACGAGTGTGAGATTCCACATGGATTAGAGAGAGACACGAAGCATTTTTTATAAGGGTGTAGAAACCTCTCTCTAACGTACACGTTTTAAAATCGTGGGGCTGATGACAATACGTAATGAGTTAAAACGGACAATATTTACTAGTGGTGGACTTGCGTTATTACAGGGAGTACAGTTGAGAAGTCGTAAGACGAAGAAGTCCCTAGTGGGTCAAAATAAATATTGTTTATTTTTGTTTATTTTTGCCTGTTACATATAGTTATCAGACTCATGGTTTTATTATTTTATTATCTAATAATTACAAATATTTTTTACTGTCTTAAAAAGTAGTGGACAAAAATATTTTAAATTTCATTATATAAATCAAACTTGCCAACACAAAGTTGACTAAGTCAACTTGGTTTGGTTGACTTTTTCAATTTCCAACTTGCCCCAAATATAGATTTGGCCCCCCAAAAAGGAAATATTCCACTTAGCCCCCATTAATTGGACTTGCCCTTTCCTTTTGGTTAAAAAAATGGTCAAAATTACTAATAGGTCCTTATACTTTTTAAACGTTGCAATTAGCCCTCAGTAATTTTTTTTTTGTCCCGATATGTTAGTAATAAGCTCAACGAGCACATATGAAACTCAATTAAACGATAAACTAATAACATCAAAGAGAAGAGACTAATTGCAACACTTGACAAAACACGAGGGGCTGAATGCTCAAATGAAACGTTCAAGGGTATGATTGTAATAAAGTTCATAGTTCAAGGTCGTTTGTGCAATTTCCTCGAAGAATCAAAACAAGGGTATTTGATTGGTTTCTATAACAATATCATGGCCTTAAACATTAAACATCTATAGGAATATCCCCAAAAGCTTGGGCACCTTGTATCTCTTATATATCTATGTTGTGTCCCAATTTGGAATGTTAGCGGTTGCTTCATTCACCATCTTTACTAGGGTTACCTGCCAACAGAGAGGCCACAAATCACTTTTCATAAGAGCAATTTTCGCTATTTCAAATATGTTACGACTATGCATGGTTCGGTACGGTTTCCGAGTTTTATGCACTTCCCTAGTCTGTAGGAATACGACCAAACAGTAAACTAAATCATCCTCGACATGGTTTTCTATAACAGTCCAAGTCCACCGTTAGCTGATACTGTTCTCTTTGGATTTTTCCTTTAAGGGCTTTCCCTCAAAGTTTTTAAAACGCACCGGCTACAGAGAGGTTTCCATACCCTTAAGGAATGCTTTGTTCCGCTCTCCAACTGATGTGAGATCTCACAATCCACCCCTCTTGGGGGCCAGCGTCCTTGCTGGCACACCGCCTGATGTTTGGCTTTGATATTATTTTGTAATAGCTTAAACCCGCCGTTAGCAGATATTGTCCTCTTTGGACTTTCCTTTCAAGAACTTCCCCTCAGTTTTTAAAACGCGTCTATTAAAAAGAGATTTCCACACTATTATAAGAAATGTTTCATTCCCCTCTCCAACTGGTGTGGAATCGCACAATCCACCCCCGTTGGGGGCCAGCATCCTCGCTGACACACCGCCCTAATGTCTTGCTCTGGTATCATTTTGTAACAACCCAAGCCCACCGTTAGCAAATATTGTCCTCTTTGGACTTTCCCTTCAAGGGCTTCTTCTCAAGGTTTTTAAACCGCGTCCACCCTTGTAAGAAATGTTTTGTTCTCTTCTCCAACCGAAAAATATGCAGCAATAGGTGAAGACAAGGAGAATGGGTTTCTAGAAACGTACCACACTTTCAGGAACTCTAGGAGGGGGTAAAGAAATGTTTCTCGGAGGAGGTCCACGTAAATGCGACCTCTTGTCGAATCGCCATTCACCAATTTTACCATAAGTCAATTCGCCCTAATGATTATCAGGAAAGTGAGTTCATTATAAGAGCCAAGATTATAGAAAAGAAAGGAACAAAGGCAAAGAAACTTCACCTTTAAGTTGTAGTCACATCCGTAAGTATAATGTATAATGAACTTTTTACCAATCTCCAAGTCCCATGGTGGCTGACCAGTTAGAAAAAGAAAAAGAAGGAACATCTCAAGATTGGTTTCAATATGGCTCACCAGTTAGAGTCAATGGATGTCTTACCTGCAACATAAAATCTTTCCGAAGAACGTGCTGCACGCCGTGCAAAGCCGAAGCAACTGCATAAGCATACCTTCGGGGAAAAAGGGAGCTTTAGAAGACAGCATTTTCACTACGGATTTTAAAATTTGTGTATCAGCAAAAACCCACTTCTAGCCGATATTATCCGCTTTGACCCGTTACATATCGCCGTCATCCTTACAGTTTTAAAACGCGTCTACTAGGAAGAGGTTTTCACACTCTTATAAGGAATGCTTCTTTCCCTTCTCCAACCGACGTGGGATCTCATAATCCACCCCCCTTGGGGCCCAGTGTCCTAGCTGCACACTGCTCAGTGTCTGGCTCTGATACCATTTGTAACAGCCAACCCACCGCTAGCAGATATTGTCCGCTTTAGCTCGTTACGTATCATCATCCGCCTCACGGTTTTAAAACACATCTACTAGGGAGAGGTTTCCACGTCCTTATAAGGAATGCTTCATTCCCTCTCCAATCGACATGAGATCTCACAATCCACCCCCCTTGGAGCCTAGCGTTCTCGCTGGAACACTACTCGGTGTATGGCTCTGATACCATTTGTAACAGTCCAAGCCCACTGCTAGATATTGTCCGCTTTGACCCGTTACATATCACCGTCAGCCTCACGATTTTAAAACACGTCTACTAGGGAGAGGTTTCCACACCCTTATAAGGAATGCTTCGTTCCCCTCTCGATCTCACAATTTGGTATAATATAGAATACAAAAGGTTTATCGTTTCTGAAAGCTTACATTTCTAGCACCCATCCGAAAACTTTATCCGCCTCGGGATCCTCTTTCATCTTCAATGAAACATTCATCCATGTAGGAGCAATCTTTTCCAGCAAATCCTGATAAACAAAACCGATATAGCACATCGAACAATAAACGTCGAGTCAGTAAAAAGAAATAACTTTGCAAGAATGGCAACAGGGAAAAGAAAATGTCATGCTAAAAGGTGTTAATCTCCCAATCACCTTCCTGATAATCACGGGGGAGTTTCCGATCGGGTCGATATTGGTTACGGGGCCATATTCCTCAGGGAAGAACTTTCTCAAAACCTTTTCGTTTTGATCGGGTTTGATGTAGAAAAACGGAAACGCAGCTGGATAACCTTCGTTGGATAAATTAGGAAGCGGATTAACGAATATATGATCTGGTTCTGCCATTAATATATATCTGTAACATAAACAAAATCAAAGAGAATTAGAAGCTCAAGAATTCTAATAGTAATGTTTATGAGAGGTTCTATTCTTTAATGATTTTACATAAAATTCTCACTCTTCCTCTATTGTAGCCTTTTCCAGCCACTGCACAAAGGCCCATGGTCTGTTCAAAACAATGTAACCCTGAGAACAGAACAGACAAGTTTTATGAAAAACGAAACGAATCCAACTCATTTGAAAGAAGAAACGAGTGCATTCGAAGTAGCTATCAGTGAGTTAAATGAATGCAAAGAAGAAAGCGTGATCAGATCCTCACCCGGTCGACACCATCAGGAAGAGGATCCACCACCATAGTAGGAATCTCATCCATAAGGTTATCGGGTTTTCCTGAGTGCAAAACACGAGTGAACCCTCCCATCTCGGAGTCAGGCAAGTCTTTCATCTTCTTGTACCAGTAATACATAATTCGACATTGCCATTGGCTGTACGGAGCATCGGTCGCTGTCAAAGCAACATGGTAAGGCAACTTTGTCTTCTGTTTTTTCACATTCTCTGGCATTTCAATGATGGGGTCGATCGATAACCGATTGTACGAGTTAGGTCCAACTCCCCTTCCCGTGGATCCATACCGGATAATAGCTATCACCAAATTATAAGTAACAAAGAAGAAAGCAAGAGCCAAGAGAATCAAAAACAGTGGAGAAGCCTGTCCTGTGTTCTTCCTCCCTATCATAGTAGCTATTTGTGGGATCCAAATCAAGGACTTTCAAAGTTCATTATAGGATAGGTTTTCTGAATTATCCTGAAAATTTTCTGTTTGCCTTTTGGATACACAAGTCGTAGCAGTACGACGAACGACTTTTACAGTGTATAACTTGAGAGGCGTTCGATTCCCGCGACGTTTATTTCACTGCCAACAAACAGAATGAAGAAGAGAGTTTAATTATATCATATCTAAGAAAGAAAGAACATGATAATAGATGGAAAAATCAACCTCTTAGGTACAATTTTGGTTAAGGAATACTAGCTATCGTAGGATCTATGCGGAAGGATTACATATTAAAACTCTCCTAGCCACGGTGAAGTGATATTGTAACAGCTCAAGCTCACCCTAGTAGATATTGTTCTCTCTAGGCTTTCCTTTTCGGGTTTCCCCTCAAAGTTTTTAAAACGCATTTGCTAAGAATAGGTTTTCATATCCTTATAAAGAATGTTTCGTTCTCCTCCCCAACTGATGTGAGATCTCACAATCCACCCCCTTCGGGGCCCAGGGTCCTTGCTGGCACACCGCCTCATGTCCACCCTCCTTCGGGACCCAGGCTCCTCGCTGACACATCTCCTCGTGTCTAGCTCTAATAACATTTGTAATGGCCCAAGCCCACTGCTAGCAGATATTGTCCTCTTAGGGCTTTCCCTTTAAAGCTTCCCCTCAAAGTTTTTAAAACTTGTCTGCTAAAGAGAGGTTTCCACACCCTTATAAGGAATGTTTCGTTCCTCCTCCCCAACCGATGTGGGATCTCACAATCCACCTCCTTAAGGGCCCAACGTCCTTGCTGGCACACCACCTCATGTCCACCCTCCTTCAGGACTCAGGCTCCTCACTGATACATCTCCTCATGTCTAGCTCTAATACCATTTGTAATGGCCCAAACCCACGGCTAGATCTTGTCCTCTTAGGGCTTTCCCTTTAAAGCTTCCCCTCGAAGCTTTTAAAACGCGTCTGCTAGGGAGAGGTTTCCACACCCTTATAAAGAATGTTTCGTTCTCCTTCTCAACCGGTGTGGGATCTCACAATCCACCCCCTTTCGAGGCCCAGCGTCCTTATTGACACACTGCTCGCGTCCACCCTCTTTCAAGGCTCAGCCTCCTCACTAACACATCGTTCAATGTTTTATACAATTTGTAACCGCCCAAGCCCACCACTAGCAGATATTGTCCTCTTTGGGCTTTTCCTTTCAAGCTTCCCCTCAAAGTTTTTATAACGTGTGAGAAGTTTCCACACCCTTCTAAAGAATGTTTCGTTCTCCTACCCAACCGATGTAGGATCTCACAGATACAACTCTCAATTCTCAAGCAAACTTGTTGTTTTAAACGAGGCAAACTCTAAACAGGACGAGAAGAAAGAACAGATGCAACAATATTGAATGTATCATAAAGATTTTCGTACAAATTACCCAAAAGTTCGTTATAATCCGATCCAAGTCAAAAACTAAAAGGGTGCAATGAGAGAAGCTGGAATGAAGAACAAAGAAGAAAAACAGGACAAAAAAAAAAATCAAGAACATAACAAACACTACTTCAAAATTCAGAGCATCTCCATAATTTTCAAAGATCTAACATCATATTTCATGAACAACTTTCGCCATCAAACCCAGAATGCACAAACAACACATGAACTATCAAAACAGATCTCAGAATCAGATTAAACTCTCCATGAACAATTGTGTGAGATCGAAAACAAAACCATTAAGCATTGACTTCAGAATCCAGTAAAATCATGAAATGGATACGCCTCAAAACTACAAAATCCATCATAAACCCAGAAAAACTCACGATCATAGAGCTTCACAAACAATCAAAGATCAAAAACACAAGAACAGAGCCACGAACAGGTAGATGTAGCGGTATCGATCGAAATTCAAAGCAAGGGAATCAAAAACTATGAAAATCATGAAGGATTTTCAAATCAAAAGAGGTCAAACCTTGAACATCAGCGAGTCGGGGAAGAACAAATGAAAACAACTTGAGAGATCTGGAAAAGTGGGTCTTGTGCTTCCGTCAGGACAGTCGCCTCGTTGAATCTTTTGGGTTCTTTAACAAATTCTTGTTGAACCCTTTTGTTTATTAAACAAAATCTGGTTGAATCTGTTCATTTTGTGTATTTTACTCACCTAAAAATTAGGACATTTTAATTTTGTCTGTAATTACACTTTAATCTGTTCATAATCCTTACTTAGGGCGGCTGCCGTTTGTTAGCTAAGTTAATAAAAATATTTATTTTGTCAAAAACTTAAAATTTTAATATAATTTCTAAAAAATTAATATTTAGTTTCTATCGTATTAAATACTAATTTATTTAATAAAATTCTCATCAAGATTAAAATTTAATATTTATTTTTTAAAAAATTACGTTATTATAAATTTTTAAAGGTTATCTCTTTGAACAACTCATTTCAATACGTCATAAAAGTCGTCAAAATTATATTAAATCTAAATTTGAAGGAAACAAAAATATTTTATAATTTATTTTTACGGTGTTCTCCTATAGAAATGTTTTTCACCATACGACCATTTTTATTCAATCACGTCATTATTTAGTTTATTATTATACTCAAATATATTGATATAACGATATCAACTAAAAATGGACGACATATAATTCGATAAGAACAATTAAACCATTAAATCCAACGAAGATAGCCATTTACATTTTTCGATATCAAGCTTCGGCTACCTCGTGCTTCAAACAGTCGACGTTGCACAACCCAACAGACCGCACTATATCTCCCAAGCTGTTAAATCACATCACAATCGTTAACATATTTCTACTTTTTCTAGTAGTTAGTAAGCTGTTTGAGTTTGACTTACCGGTCAAAGCTATTCCGTGGTCTTTCCGATGGATCTACGTTGTTCTTTGCCTTTAGCAACCGATCTACGCTGTTTCTCGACTTATGGGTAGCTCGAGATTTGTCCTTTTGATCGGTGGTCGGTGGTGGTTTATGATCATGTTCGTCAACCTTGTTGATTGGACGTAGTGTTTGTATGGCGGATATGAACTTGCGAAGGTGATTTAAGTATTGTGGGTAAAGTTCTAAGTCACAATGACTGCCTCCTTTGAGCCATAAGGGTTCGTACTTGTCTTTGCAAAGCTCCCACAACTGCTTTCCATGGGAACAATCCACAACTTTATCTTCGGTTCCCTGAAGAAACTTCCATTACTAATAAACCGTAAACCGTAAACCCTAAATCTTACAAAAAAAAAAGACCAAAAAAACTTACATGAATCACCAAAACTGGACAATCAAGAAGCGGAATCTTGTCGATGTTCTGCAAGAATAAAAATATCTATGAACTCGACACTTTGTTTAAAAAACATCCTTAAACTTTCCAAAGTTTCAATAATATCGTTAAATAGTTTAAAAATTTTATTTACCATTAGTTTTAGATGTAAACGGGTAATATATTATTTTTAAAATAAAATTTTAAAAAATTAAAAAAAAATACCCTTAAATTTTTTTAAAAATTTAAAAATACATTTATAGGTAATATTATATTAAAAAAATACTCATAAATTTTTAAAAGTTTATAAAAAAAAAATTAAAAAGTTTTTACTAGGGTAATTTTTTGAAATTATTAAAAAAATTTAAAGGTAATTTAAAAAATTTTAGGGATATCTTTGAAATATTTTTAGAAGAGGACAAAAATGCAAATAAGAAGAAAAGGGAGGGTATATAAGCAAAAAAGGGGAAACCTTGTAAATGTCGAACCAGAAAGTCTTCTTGAGAGGAGGATAGAGAACACGGAGGCCGGAGAGAATTGGGCTGTGGAGGACGACGGCCCTCACCGCCGGCAGCCGCGTGGCTAACTCCAGTGTGGGCCCACTGCCGACAGACTGGCCGTACAGAATTGTTTGGTCTTCTTTAACGCCGTATGTTTCTTGCAAGCATTTGTAGGCTGCTTCTATGTCGGCGTATGTGTCTTGTTCACTTGCCTAACCCACAATCTTAAGCCTTTTACTAATTTCTTTTTTAAGAATTTTTCATAATATTTATTTAAAAAATAATAATAATAATAAAACTCTAAATAACTATTTATTAAAAATATTCATTTTTTTCCAAATAATAATTTATAATAATAAATGACAAAAAAAAGACTCTAACTAATTATTTATTAAATTTTCTTGAAATTGAAAGTTCAAAATTTTATATATATAAAAAAAAATAATTTTTTATTTTCTTGAAAAATGACTTAAAATTGGATATGACTCCATAAATAATTCAAAATAAATAGAAAATTGAAAATTTCAAAATTGTATATATATATAAAATATACCTTTCCAGAAGACTGTCCATAGCCAGAATAATCATATCTGCACAAAATAATAATAATAATAATAATAAAATTAAAAATTTTATATTAATAAAAAATTAAAAGTGATAATAAAATTAAAAATTAAAAATTTTAATTTATATTTTATTTATTTAACTATTTTTAAATTGATAATAAAATTTATTAGGATAATAATCGAATAAATTAAATGGATTTGCTGCATTAATTTGAATCTAACCAAAATCAACCGCTCTCGATTCTCGACGTAATTTGAAGCATCGTATCAATAATCGATTCAATTCATTCTCGTACATGCAATGAATCGGTTTGTGAAATTAAAAGAAGAACGAATTATGTAACGGATCGAAAATTTAGTGGATAACTATATCACACACAACAAACGACACGAGATGAACGAGTAAAAATGACTAACCCCATGATGTTGACACCCAAATGGAAACTAAGTTGAACGAGAAGATGGTGAATCTGGCCAAGATCTGCAGCATTTCCATGGGAATAAAGCACTGTGAAGGAAGAACAAGAAGCCTTCACATACATAGCCACAATCTCGTTCCCTCTCCTAGTCCTCGTCCTCAAAACATCCACATTTTCTCTCTCCTCCACGGTCGAGATTCTCAATTTGCCGACCTCGTCAGAATACACGCTAAAAATAACATAAACCAAAATTCATCATAACCCGTCAACTTAAAATGTAAAAAAAATGAGAATTTAACATGATATTAGAGCACGAGATTTTGAGTTCGAATGTTAGTAACCTGTATGACGGTGGGTCGGGCGGGTAGAACGCGAACTTGGCGGCCATCGAGGAAGTTGCAGACCCCATTGGTGAAAGATTGAAGGTTTTTAAAAATTTTGATGCTAGAATTGTTGTTGCATGATGAAGTTGAAATGTTGGTGGGATTTTCTGTTTGGTTCCCGAGAAAATATTTGGAGTTTTTAAGGAAAAGGGAGGGAGGGAATTTATGTCGGATGAGAGTGTTTTTAAAGCAGAGGGGAGTGATTAGCGGCGGGGAAATGGATGAACAGATCAAAGAAAGAATATGTTTTTTTTTTTTTTTTTTGAGGGGCCCTCCTCAAGAACATTAAGTTGGGGTTTTGTCGTTTAAGGAATTATATCAGATGTTGGGATTTCACTCCACCGATTTAAGGAAGATTAATCTACCATTAATATGATTGAATTTATTCATAATTGTCGTATTATATGATCTTAATCATAGGTTAAAATTTTATTATATAGTTGAGTGATTGCCAAATAAAACCAGCTCGTTGATTCTAGAAGATTATAGAAAATACTGGGATTTATAGATTACAGTTCTCTATACGTTATACTGCTTTAGCCTCTATTCTCCATCAGAGAATAAGAACGGTTTGTATCGAGTGGAAGTTGCAGAGCTAAAGAATATTTGGCGAGAACTCTACTATGTAAGCACCAACAGATATTGTCCGCTTTGACCCGTTACATATCGCCGTTAGCTTTATGGTTTTAAAACGCATCTGTAAGGAAGAGGTGTCCACACCCGTATAAGGAATGCTTCGTTTCCTTCTCCAACTGATGTGAGGCTTCACGTACTATTTCCACCTACGAGTTTACTTATTTACTGGTTATATTTATCTCAATGTATGCATGTTCGAGCAACAAAATTAGGGTACGAGCCGAACCCTAATGATCAAATTTCCTTGAATTTCTCAAATATGGAGACAATTTCATAGAATATTCCGACCCTTTTGCCCGATCTTCCTAACTTTTCGCTCGTTTGTGTGCTAAGCACGATCTCAAATTCGAGCTACTAATTTGGTTGTCTTCTATACACTAGACTTCATTATTTTGTAGCTTAGTTCATGAATTCATAGCTCTTTTTAAAAGGAAAATGAATGGGACATCAATGAACAATCCTATGAACCCTAGCTTTTTGGGGAAAAGGTGATTGGTGATGCTTGGTGCCACATTCAAATGTTGGTATTTTAGGGAGAAAACTTCCCTTTTTTCTCTCAATATGCACCAAACATCTCTCTCATTATAAAAGTAAATCATTCCAAATCATGTCTTGGGGCCTCCCCTTCCCCTTTTCTTTCGTATACAATATTATATTGAGCAGATTACGGGCATTCACTCGTCAAAGTCTATTCATAGAGATGTTTGGGGGAGTTTTAGGTTTACAGGGTTCGAGCAACTAGGGTTTTCATTAAAGGGTCATAGGAAGTTGAGATCTTTTATGGTATTCATGGCCCGATTAGGTCCGACTTACCAGTAGGTAATGATCGTTATGCCCATTCAAGAATTTTGTTAGCTCATTCTTTGAAAGCAAGTTAGAGGCAAGGAGATCTAACGAGGAGTCCTTGACCCAGTTCCTCGATTCACTGGAAAGAGAGTGAATGACCCATTACTTCTTCGTTCATAGCCTATTACTTGACCCAGCTCCTCGATTCACTGAAGAGAGTGAAAGACCCACTACTTCTTCGCTCATGGCCTATTACTTGACCCAGCTCCTCGATTCATTGGGAAGAGAGTGAAAGACCCACTACTTCTTCGTTCATGGCCTATTACTTGACCTAGCTCCTCGATTCACTAGGAAGAGAGTGAAAGACCCACTACTTCTTCATGCATGACCTATTACTTGACTCGAGGCAAAAGATTTCTATGTTTCTACGTGTTCACATGACACGTCTTCTTTACACGAGACAACGAGATAACAAGTTGATATTCAGTATAGAAACTATATGAAGGCTGTAAGCTGACCGATTCTATACTTTAAGACACAAACATATATCTCGACACGTGGAGTTTGGCCCGGGAAACAAGACTTCATTGAAAAGAGAAAGATCTAAACTTCTTTTATATATATATAATAGTACATATACCAAGAAAGAAATGAATAAATAAATAAAATAAAACTTTTTGGCATTGAGAAAATAAATAAATAAATAAATAAAAATAAAATAAATAAAGAGAGAGGGCGTTGAAAACATAGCTTAGAAGTCCACCCTTGTTTGTTTGGATCCATGAAAAAAGCTGACCTCGTTCATCCCACAACGTTAGACAAGCGCACAACAACAACTCACACCTTCCTTTCTACGATGGCACTTTTAATTATAAAAAAATAATATCAAAGTTCATCGATATCGATAATCTTCTCGTATCTGATAGCATACCTATGGGTTGCTCTAATAAAGGTGGACATTCATATTTGTTTTGTCTATAGAGTTAGGTATCATCGTTGAGCACACATGAATCCTAGCTCGGTTAGCTTTAATCTTCTCGTATTTGATAGCATACCTATCGTCTTCTCTAACAAAGTTGGACATTCATGTTTGGTTTGTTTATAGAGGAAGGTATCATTGTGAGCACACATGAACCCTAGCTCGGTTAGCTTACATTATCGTTCACGTCTCATACTAAAGTAGAAGAAATAATTTGGACGATTGATAACATTTTATAAATCAAGATCGAAATTTATAAAGTGACATCAAGGCTCACGAGAATTACCCTAACTGGTGTCATTTTATGAATAAGAATCGAAGTTTGAGATTATTGTTGCAACGTGGATTTTTGTGTAATAACCTAAACCCACAATTAGGAGACATTGTCTGTTTTGACCCGTTACGTATCGTCGTTAATTTCAAGATTTTAAAACGCGTCTATTACGGAAAGACTTTCACACCCTTATAAGAAACGTTTCATTATTCTCATCTCCAACTGATATGAGATCTCACAATCCACCCCTTTAGGGAGGGGACCCAGCATCCTCGCTAACATGTCACCTAGTGACTGACTATGATATCTTTTGTAACAGCCTAAGTCCACCGCTAGCAAGTATTGTCAATTTTGACTCGTTACGTATCATCATTAGCCTCACAATTTAAAACGCGTCTACTAGGGAGAGATTTTCACACCCTTATAAGAACTATATCGTTCCGTTCTCCAACCGATGCGTGATCTCACACTTCAACCTTTTGAATAACGACAATTGCAAACAAATTCAAAAGGAACTTGTAGTATAGACATGCACGTTCAACAATCGAGCTCGATCCAATATATATATTCAAAGAAAACGAGTTCGACACATGGGTTTGCACCAAAATTGATGCCAATACACATCTAACAAAAGATTTAGGTTTTCGAAACTTCCTAGAATGAATTGAATGAACATGTTTTTGGGATTTCAAAGCATGAAAAACAGAGGGATGTTGGAGACAAGCAGTCCCATAGATTTGACTCAATCCCACTTTACACACTCTTTTCTATAAATATCTCCCTTTTGTCTCCTCCAACAACTCCTCTCCACTAAACAAAACCCTAAAAAAACCCTAAATTTAACCCTAAAAACCCCATTTTTGTGCCACCATTTTCATTGTTCTCAAACAATCAAAGATGGGTTTTGTTAGGTTTGCTTGCTTTTTGCTGGTTGTTCTTCCAATTACATCACTTTCCATCATGAAGTTTCATCGAGGTCTCTATCCTTCATTCATTTCAATACATAAATTTAGAAGCGGGTTTTCTTCCGTTTAGTCGAGAGTGAACTCGAATCAATTGAATTATGCTCGTAGCTCACGTTTGAATTGATTTGTTAATATAATGCTAGTTTTGTTGCACTTTATAGCCTTACATAGACTAGTAGACTATTAACGGGTTTTCTTGTAGGGTTAGGGTTACCTATTTTCACATTCTCGAAAACGAAATTTGACTTTGTTTAAGAGCTCTATATCTTCTAATGAATACCCATATTTTCTTTCTTTTCGGTTTAGGTTTAGAATACAAAGACGTAGCTCAAACTCGAGGTAGTTTTGCTAAGTAATCAATATAAATCCTTTATCGTAGGGCGAGGTTACCTGTTTTCACTTCTCGAAGATGAAATCTAACTTTGTTTAAGAGTTCTACATCTTTTAATGAATACCCATGTTTTCTTTCTTTTCGTTTTAGGTTTAGAATGCAAAGATGTAGCTCAAACTCGAGATAGTTTTGTTAAGTAAATCAATATAAACCCTTTTATCGTAGGGTTAGATTACCTGTTTTCACTTCTCGAAGACGAAATCTAACTTTGTTTAAGAGCTCTACATCTTTTAATGAATACCCATGTTTTCTTTCATTTCGTTTCAGGTTTAGAATACAAAGACGTAGCTCAAGCTCGAGATAGTTTTGCTTCACGTGAAAAGGTACGTGAATATCTACCCTAATTTGACTCGAGGATTCACGTATACCAATAATCTCGCTCGGTTTTTGTTTAGGAACTTGTGAGCAACAACATTGGAGGAAGAAGAAGATTGGAAGTGAAAGAAGGTATGCCATTGGAAAGAAGCAAGAGCTCAAAAATGGCTGTTTCAAGCTCTTTCAATGGTGAAAATGGCAAGAAGAAGAAGAAGAAGAAATTGGGGAATGGTTCTTCATTAGTTTATGAAAATGCTGATTATTTGACTCATATGCATCACCCACCAAAACATAATTGATGGGAACTTGAAGGCTTACATTAATGGAGTTTTGTTTTTATGTTATATATATATATATATATATATATATATATATATATATATGAAACATATATCCAATTTTCCTTTACTTTTTGTTTAATATTTATGAGTTTTTATACATTTTGTAATATTAAAAAAACGCTCGATCTGGATCTATTGCTCGATGTGAGATTCTACCTTACAAGGGTGTGGAAACCTCTCCTTGATAGACGTGTTTTAAAACTGTGAGGCTAATGACAATACGTAACAGGTCAAAGTGGACAATATCTGTTAGTGATGGTCTTTGACTGTTACAATCGGTGCATGAAATGCTGGTCTTGAAAGTCCTTTGTTATGAGATTTCATCCCGAGGTTATAACGTTATGAATTTGATCGAAGATGTAATTTATTGTGACAAATACTTATAATAAGCTAGAACCACCGATCTAAATTGATAGGTTGTTTCGGTTGGATTTAGATTTTTTAAATTTTTTAATAAAAAATATTTTGACCAAAATACCCCTATATTA